GTTGTTGAAGAATGGCCCGACCTGTTCAGTTTCTCTCACGAGAATAGACTCTGTTGTTGCTTCAGGTGACAGGAACTGTTTCAGATCTCTTTCATTTGTAAATCTGCTCCGACAATTACGGTGGTACAGCAGTGATGGAAATTTATCTTCTTCTGTTATATCCGCTATTCTTAAAATATTAGCATGTTCTCGAAGTTTTGCTGCTCTGAATAGTGTTTTCCACGAAGAAACAGAAGACAGTGAGGTTAAATTTGAAGAAGACTCTTCAAAAAAGATGAAGGATTCATTGATGGAAACGTCTTCATCAGATTTCTCTGCCATGGTCCACTGCCTTCACAGATAGGTGCTGCAACCAAAAGATATTTATAAGTCCAGTGCAAACCTGTTAACATAATAGTAAATTTATTTCAAAGATACAACTTAAGACTAACCCAGCAAAACATATATTGTAATAAATAATCATCTATTGCATATTATATTATCTGACCAGCAAATCTCTGAGAGGACTACACTCACATTTTCCCTACAAAGATTCCTTAGAGATTGTTTACACAATAAACCCATCAGTCATAAAGAAAATTAAAAAATTAGGCATAGCTTCCGCGTGCCGGGCTACCTGCCCGGTCGAGGGAGCATAACCGCTCAATTTCTTCAACCCCCCAACCCATGAGTCACAAGGGCAACTGCCACATGTATGCAATGACTCCCCCATTCCCCAAACAATATGATCACAAATATCAACTTACTTGCAACAAATGTTTCTCTAATTGGTCTTAATAGAACAGCACATATTATTACATTATAGACATACATTCTTTTTTTAAAACAGTAATATTCAACAGAGTACTCATGCCATAATAATATAGTCTTAAGAAAATACTATCTTCTGTTGTTTGTTTACAGTGTCACAACAGATCTAATTACCAAATCTTTGCATAGATACATTAAAACAACAAGAAGCATTGCACATTGGATAACTAGTAAATGTTTTTTAACTGCTAAATCCCAACTTTGAGGATAATTTGTATGTTAGATTTCATTTTTGAGCAGATTAAAAGAAAAGTTAATTGGACTATATTTAGACATGACCAATTTCTGAACAAAACTTTACCTTCTCTTACAGTGTAACAATATTCAAATAAAAAAATAACGAATGATAATTGGACAGCAACAGTAACTTACCTTGTATAGACCTTGGTTCATTGATGAAATTTCATATGTAGCTGTGCATGACAAGAAATAGTAGACCTCTGTCAACCAGTGCTGAGACCTGGTGCCATGCTGCTGCCACCTTGACTGTGCTAAAAATAGCATGTGGCTACTACTAGCCTGCAACTGGTTCCACAATAAGTAATTAGCTGGCAGCAGCAGGGCACTAACTAAAAGTGGCTATAAATGTTAAAAGCTGTGAAATTAACTTTGCTATCACATAAAATCATGTTAAACACATTAATGTGTAATGTTTGGTATATGTGACACTTTGCCCCCCCAAGTGGTACCAAAAACATATTGGGACCAAGGACTATATGTTTTGATTACAGTTAAAACTAATTGTCATGTTACGTGAAAGGTATTTGTGAAAGGAATCTGTTAGGCTCTGTGGTCACTGTTTGGTGACCAGCAATAGTTGGTATCATAGTACCATTTACCCAGATAGGAGCAACTGTTTAACCATTTTGAATTGTGAAATTGGAAATTGATGACAGTGGCTTGCTGTATCATGAAATCTAAGCCTAAAATCATGGGAGACGCTAAATCTGCAACAATTTGAAAACATTGCTCCATTTAATAATCACCAAACTTTGATGGGAAGTAAAACTTGTCCTGATACTGGTACTATATTTTGACCTATCCCTTGAAGAAATGTCACATCTGACTTTTGAATAGGCATTTCTTTCCACAGACCTGAGTCATTGAAAACTTCAAGACTTAAAACATTAATAGCAGCGTTTGAATCCACAATTGATGGAACTACCTGTTCTCCCATAGTATTACCAATTCCTTATCACATGGTGAAATGAAGCTCCGTGACTTATGTGACTTCAAAATAAGTATTGTCAAGAGTTTGCTCAGCCCAGTGGAAAAGTTGCCAGCGCGGTCGTGACTGTAATTGCTTGCTGCTGGGTGGGGAAACTGATTGATACGTAGCTCTAAATACTCCTTTAAACTGTCAAATTGTCTTACAAAGTTGAGACTGTGCTTTGCGCGGGAGACACCTATCAGAATGAAAGAAAACATACTTATTACCACTGGTGAGGTTAGTCTGTTGAGAAGTTGGTTGCCGTCGTCAATGATGTTGTTGGTCAGGCTGGTGCAGAAACTGATGTCCTGTCTGCTGGTATGGGTGAGGGCCGGGGAGGGAATGAAGGGCGGAGAAAGGCAGTCTGCGATAGTAGGGATGGCCGGCATATGGACGTTACTATCGGAACGACAACAGGCAAAAACAAAGAATGGGATCGTCTTAAACATTTTGTTCAAGGAAACCGAGAGACTCCACCATGTCGTAACTGCGTTTTGGGGTTAACTGAGCTCTACTACTATTTTATTGTAATTCCGTGTCGTTATAGGCAAGGTAAGCCCTGACTTACCAACTCTCTTGGTCAGAATCAGGTAATCTCAGTCAAGATGTCTCCATTAGCATTCATGTACCCGCCGTTGCACTCACTATAGGAATAAGCACAACACACGGGTTATACTCATACTTTTAATAACACTCCAGTCCGTTTTTAAATACAACTTCTACATAAGACTAGCTAGACTCGTCCTATACTGGACAAACAGACTGGTATCGAACCGTCTCAGTCACTGCCAAACCGCGCACCACCGCTAGTGCTGAACGCAACTTTTTAAAGGGGTCGACTTTCTTTGTCACACGTAACAATGCCTAAGTTCGATTTGTTAAAAGTTACATCTGACCATGAATTCAGGAGTGTCATAATCGGACAAATACCAAAGCCTACGTGCCAGATTGAGCATCCCTCACTTCCTGATTATACAAATGAAAAGTATCTTACCTCATTCATTATTCATTAACTAATCGACGATAATGTGGGAAAAATCCTACGATAAATACAAAATGTCCGGAAACATTCTGATTATGAATCTGAAATGTCATTTCTTTATTATTAATTCTTTCCTAGCTAATAGTTCTGTCTCCAAACTTAATGAAAATGCAACTACATCATTGCAGGTATGAACGGTTTAATATGTTTCCATTTTGTTACCATTTGCTAATGTTTTTGAGATGCATTTTTAATGCATGATTATGCTATGGCCCGACCCTGTCTGGCTGTACAGCTAACGTGGCTCACGCTCCAATGCACTCCACTTACCCGTGCGGAGAAAGGGGTCCGCGATAGTAGGGGGTATTAATGAGACGCTTCTTTCAGTATCTTCACTGCATGAGACTATATCAGACAACAGAAAATCAAATAGAGCCGCTAAGTCGCGCTTCTTTAACACGAACCAAAGATAAAAAACATTGTGCAACAAATAATGTTGATACACACAGCCAACTTAATTACTATGTGTTCTATGCATAACCGTTGAAGATACGAGGAATAGTCAGGAACAAAATATGTTGTTCATAAGAATTATCTTCTATTTCTCTCTCCCTAGTCTTCAGAAGTATGATGCTGTAGTTGGAGATTACAATAAAAAAATCATACAGTAACAAAAACTGGTCAAACTCGGATGAGTGTTGTCTGAGCTGCAGATTATAAACGGTGTTTTTCAGATTTCGTGGAGCTTTGTGATGAAAAAGATGATATCTTTATACTGCCTAATATTTTGGCTATCCAAAAACGTACTGGTCCTCATTTATTACCATATAGGTTGAAACGGCCCCTGTACTCGTTAGATTTTATAGTTCAATGGTAGCCAACACCATATCTTGACATGATGCACACACACTCTAGAGTTTCTGCAGACGTTTTCTACTAAGATTATGCAATGCTGTCTCTCTGCCACAAATGAAAGCAGTAATGGAAAACGAACATCCCTAGTTTTCCAGAGAACAAAAAGCAGAATCATGACAGAGGTCACTAATTCTAAAAGTACCATGCCTATTGAAAAAAGCCTACCCGACAACAATCTCCATTACTCTAGCATCAACCAAAAATCCGAATTGGGCTTATTTGTACGTTTCTGTGATGCTTCTTTCAGTATTTTTACAAGAAATCTTTAGATGTAACTGACAGCAAAGCGTTTAAGTTTTCACATGCACCCAAGAGCAAAAATATGCACCAGGCAATATTAATTAGGAGATAAACGTACTGTGTTTGAAAGTTAGATTAATGTTAGACGGAACTGACAGTCTCAAAATTTTATTTGAAACCGAACCCTTCAGTTAACTAGTACTGAACGCAGTAGTGTAAGGTTTCAAATGATTAATGTAGATACTATAAATTCGGTCTAACATAAATCTAATTTTCAAACACAGTACATCTATCTCCATTCTGCCATGACCAATTTAAAATCAAACTCCTTTGTTCCAGTGGGTAATCTGCATGTCATGGCACGAGAGGCGAATTGAACTCGTCTGTGAAAGGGATGGTAAGTTCCTTTCGTAATTGTGTTTTTTTAACCTTGTAACGTTAACAAAATATTCGTCAGAAGAAAACAAACAACAATTTGTTCAATGCAACAATGTTTACATTGTAAATAAGTAACAGTTTGGTTATATAAAACCTCCAAACAGGACAGAAACCGGCTTACTATACACATACACAAAAGTTAAGCGCCATCATATTCATAGTCTCTAGATTTCACGTGTGGGAATCAGAAATACGAAATATGATGATGTATGACTGAATTAGGCTTCCATAGTTTCATGAACCCAAATTTGTCCAGATACCACAAGGAAAGCATGCTTTACGTGTTGCTGCAGTTCCCCTACCATATAAAAAGTGAAATTCACGTTTCAGACACGTGGTTGCATTTTGCTCCTGTGGGAGATTCCCCTTCCAATAGAGGTTGAAAATCAGGCATGGTGAGGAGAAAGTTAACAAACGCTGAAAGATGGCAAGTGATAGGCATGAAAAATGCTGGCATGTCATGCAGGGCCATTGCAAGACAAATGGGTCGTCATCACAGTGTTATCACTCGTTTGATTGTCAACCATGGTCAATCCAATGATGTCAGTGACAGGCATAGGTCTGGTAGGCCAAGAAAGACCTCGAACAGAGAGGATAGATGTCTTTTCAGGATAGTCAGACGAAATCCATTTGCCACTTCAACAGATTTAAGACTGCAGTGGATTACCCATCAGAGACTCTCGGCGATGACTGTAAGGCGTCGCCTCAGAGCGGCTGGTTATAACGCCAGAAGACCAGTAAAACGTCCTCAACTGACCGAGAGGCACATGTGGAATCGTCTGCCGAAGTCAATGGAACTTGGTCTGACAAGTGTCGAATGCTGCTACGAACTGTTGATGGTCGAATACGTGTTTGAAGGCAACGTGTGGCAGGATGTATATATTTGGGATTATTTTAAAAGTAGTTTAGTATAAACTTATCCAAAACATAGGTATTTTATTGTATTTATTAAATAAATTAGTTTACTTAGTCCACTAACTCACACCTCAGTAACATAATCTAACATGTGGTGATTGATTCTTTGTGTTAAGGCTACTGCGGTCTCAGCCTAGCTTATTGTTCTCTGCCGGTCAGCTTGGCCTGGCTTTGTATTTCTCGCGTCACATGACCACCTTGGTTAATGTACTTCATACCTTTACTATGTGCACCATTTCTAGTCACAACTCTCACTGGGAAAGGACAGTTCAGTTTGGGGTGAGTTAAATATATTTATTATCATTGTACTTAGGTTTCTAGTATATATAATGTACTTTAGTACACTCATATTAAGTCATTTATGTTCCATAAGAACAGTATATCATGTATATGTTATAAACATGAATTATCAGTATATTCATGTTAGTGCAATATGTATTTAAATATTGTAAGATGTTACCATTGAGGTATATGCAAAATGAGTGTACTAGATTTAAGCATGTATTGGTACTATTTTATCATGAAAGTGTAAAATATCAAAACATTATAATTGTTGATTTTATCATACATATGAAATGCCTAAAAATGTTGATTGTTATACTGCTAGATGAGTTTCACATGCCATGTTTACAATGTATGTGATGTTTACCATACCAGTAAGATTCATGTAGTTATATATCATTTATCAGGTCACGTAAGATACTGCATGACCAGTTTTGATGCCATCTGGTGGTTTGGCCTCCGTCCCTTAGACGAGGTGAGCGTTACTTCCCTTAGTTATACGTATATTTTATGTCAACATGTCATGGCATAATTGTCTATACTATTGTAATGTTATATTGCTTAATATAGTATTATTTAATTGCTTTGTAGTGTATTCAGTGATATCATCCTCACTGAGGAGATATCCGCCATAACATGCTTTACCGTACTAAATGTAAAGTAAGCGTTCACATTATATCTTATTGATTGGTATATCAAACACATGTAATAGATATATAATGGCAGTATTCTTTTAATGATCTATTGGTTATATTTGCCTACATTTTGTAAATATTGTGTTTTAGGGTTTCTTCATCATCATCATAACCACTGATTGTGGACCATCATTGGAATAAATCCAGTTGTAAAAACAGCATGCTTTTGTGTCTCCATTACCCTGCATAAGCCTCTGCGACAAACGTAACACTAGTTTTGCACCAAGGAACATCCAGAAGACCTTAGCATGTGGCGGGGGTCTGTCATGATATGGGGTTGTGTTTCCTTCGGTTGCAATTTCCGCTGGTGACAATTCGTGGAAACCTGAATGGCCAACAATACCAAGATGCCGATCTTCGTCCAGTGGTAGTCCGTCTTTTTGACAACCATCCTCTTAAGACAAGACCTGTTTACATGGACGACAATGCTAGACCATACAGATCTCGGGCAGTTTTGGCTTATTTGCGTCAAGAAGCTATTGCCACTCTTCCTTGGCCGGCCTGTAGTCCGGATCTTAATCCGATTGAGCATCTCTGGGATATTCTTGGCCGGAAAAACAGACATCGTGATCCCCCAGTTCAAAACCTCGCTTATATATAATAAGCTGGTAAATTACATGCCTCATGATGAGACCCGTGAAGATCCAGGATAGAATAGGTCTCCAGCAACCCATGTCTATAAATAATCGAGTCTGGACCAGACAATCCAGTGATTTACATCATGAGCATCGATTCACGCTATTGGGATCGATGACATGCATCAACCAAGTCAGCGAGCCTGACCACCCAATCCTGGTAGTCGCCTTTTACGACAAGCATAGTGGCCTTTTACGGCAAGCATGGGTTGCTGAAGACCTATTCTACCCCGGATCTTCACGGGTCTCATCATGAGGCATGTAATTTACCAGCTTATTTTATATAAGCGAGATTTTTATTATTATTTTATTAAATTATCTCATGAAACAATATGTTCTGCAAAACAGATTCATAAATTATTCCTACAGAAACAAGAGATGCAAACTACTTCTGATGGAAGCCAGGTCTGTACACATACATTAATAATAATAAATATAAATACAGATCTAGACTGTAGGCTATTTAATTAGCTGGTTAATGACAGGCCTCATTATATAATTGTAAACAGACAGACAGACAGACAGAATTTTATTCAGTAAAGAAGGCCACATGACCCATAGTTACAATATATTTTGGATGCGCTCTATTAGCTAATAAACCTCAATATAAATATAGAAACAGATAGCATACTGACAGTGATGGGATTATATAAAGTGTTATATAAATCTGACAAACTAAGATTTTCCAGACGCTTCAGTTAGTTGTTTTCTTTTCTGAGTACAGTGAACCCTGAAACATTTCAAATAGTGATAACTGTAAAAATACTAGACATCCCCTCTGATACTGAAAATGGTATATAGAAATCTGGAGAAATAATATAAAATCTCACTTTGATCTGATGTACACAACATATTTATAGTAACAAATGATTTAATCTTTTTTCTCAACTCCTCTAGAAAAACCTTTCGGCTATCTTCATACCTAGGACATTGAAATATAATATGATTTTCATTCTCAAAAACATTACAAAAAAACCAACAATTGTAAACAAAACGCGGATAATCATGATAATCTAGTTGTTTTCGCTTTTTCAATAATTCCAGACGTTTATCTTTTTTTATCAGGTGTAGCCGATCAACCCATGTCCAATTTGTCAACGCGGATTAATGTTGTTTCTTCCTTCTTTGGCATTGTTGGTGCCAATGTAGGTTGTTCATTCTCTGGGATGGAACTTTCTGTGATTTCTGATAATAAATTAGTTGAAAAATGATCATGTACTTTTGTCACCTTGTATAAAATATTATTATTTTTATTAATGCAATATTTACAAAGATAAAAGATGTTTTCATAACATATGTCTACACATTTAAGAAGACATTATTGTCGTTCAATGTTAAATATACTGAACAACAAAAGTTCCTGTGACATTGAATAAGATTTAATGCAAAGTTATGGTTTTTACCAAATCTGAAAAAAAATTTCGCAACAGATAAAAGACTCCTTCAGAAAATGCGTGATTTCATATAAAACATGAACATGCCAAAATGTCAATTTACAAATCAATAGCTTGTGTGTCCACCTCTGGTTGCGATGCAAACAACACATCTTCGTCTCATGGAATGGACCAGGCGTCGCACAAAGTTCTGTGCGATATCGGTCCATATCTGCTGGAGCATGTTTCGAAGTTCCTGGAGTGTTCCTGGAACACATGGTTGACGTCGAAGGCGCCGATCCATCTCATCCCACATGTGCTCGATTGGTGAGAGATCAGGGGAGCGAGCCGGCCAGGTGATGACATTCACGTTGTTTTGTTGAAGAGAATCCTGAACAAGTCGAGCAATATGAGGCCGGGCGTTGTCATGTTGAAAGGTAATGCCTGGGCCATGACGACGCAAAAAACGGTAGAACAACAGGGCCGATGATCTCGTCTGGGTAGCGCTGTCCATTGACATTTCCCTCTACTACTATCTAATGGGTCCTCTGTCTTGCTGTAATCCCACCCCATACCATAACGCTGCGGCCCCCGAACCGATATTCTTCCATGATACAATGATTGACGTAACGTTCACCTCGACGTCGGTACACTCGAATCCGTCCATCGCTGTGGCTGTGGTGAAAACGAGACTCGTCAGTGAATAGAACTTGTCCCCACTGCATGGCCGTTCCAGCGTAGATGCCGGCTGCACCATTGTAGACGTGCTTGACGGTGGTTTCCTGTCAAAATTAGACGTTTGGCGGGTCTTCTGGCGACAATCCCTGCACATCTGAGTCGACGACGTACGGTTTGTGCAGATATTCATCGAAGGCCAGGGATGCTTCTTGCAGTCACTGTTGCTGACTGGAATCGATTTCGTAGGTGTGTTGTTCGAATCCAGTTGTCTTGTCGATTATTGATTACGCTTGGCCTGCCACTCCGAGGATGGTCTCTGACTGCATTCGTCTGTTGCCAATGTTGCCATAAACACCAAATGGTGATTTTGTGGACGTTAAATTGTCTTGCATCATCACGTTGACTCGATCCTGCTTCAAGCATACCAATGGCTCGCAGACGCTCATTTTCGGACAGGCGTGGAATTTCGTAATGTTGAATAATTGCGTAATTTTGTTGTTTTTCTGAGTGGTTGTTAGCACGATGATAAACAATGCATATTCAATCCCGTTAACGCACATGTTTTTCTACCCATTCTTGGGTAGTGAAATGCATGGGGCTTGCATAAAAGTCAACTTTTGCATGGGATGCATGCTTTTCTGCAGCAGTAGTATAGGTAATGGTGATTCTGCCGCAACCCCCACTGGAGCCAGATTTATATACCTATACTGCTACTACAGGGAGAATTTTTTATGTGTAAATGATGATGCGATTCAATGATCGTCATGAGATTAAACTAAATTGTAATGAAAATATTCTCTATTATTTTTACTCATATGCATACCATTATTTTGAACAAAGTAATACTCAACATTTTTACTAAGTTCTTCATTCATTTTACTAGGAGACCAGACTATATACTCTTTTTCTAAGTTGGACAGAATCAATTGATGACCGTATTTGGTTGGTTTGACATCACTGATATAATATATACCCTGTGGTAATTCTCGCCATTTGATTGGCTCCATTATTATATACTTATGTAAGCATTCGTTTAAATGTGATCCAACGATAGGAAGCAATCTATTTTCAATCTCCAACCAGTTCTTTGGTTTTGGCACGGAATAATTGACGCGCTTGTTGTCTCCACTGTTCTATGAACTTTTTTTCTCGTCTTTGCTTATACCACTGGTCTGACGAGAATTTGATCGAATCTCCTTCTTCAGTACGTTGTATTTGGTGAGTTCTGACAGCACTAAATGAAACTCCTCCTCAGATATCTTACAATCAGGGGCGGTCGGGTAGCCTAGTGGTTAAAGTGTTCGCTCGTCACGCCGATGACCTGGGTTCAATTCCTGACATGGGTACATTGTGTGAAACCCATTTCTGGTGTCCCCCTCCGTGATATTGCTCGAATATTGCTAAAAGCGGTGTAAAACCATATTCACTCACTCACTCAGTCTTACAATCAGCCAGTGCTGTTGAAATATGATCCTCAATGCTGTTCAACTTTGCTTCGCCGAGTATCCGAATATTATCATGTTTTAATGCTTCATGTTTTAATGTTCTTTTGCAACTTACGAGAAATGAATTTTATCGCTATTCCGGCCAGTCCTGAGACTCTGGCGGCTATTTCCATGCCAAGTATGATAGGAGCGGCAATCATAGTTGATAATGAACCAACACCGGCTACACTGAGTCCAATGCAAGCCGTTACAAGCGCAGTGTCAACTCCGTCAAGAGCATTCACGGCTCTGCGATACTTTTTATACAATCCAAGTCTCAACTCCCTATCCTTCTCTATTCGATGTTTTATGTCGCTTATTTGATGTAATCGAAATCCATCAACAGTATCCATCTTTTCAGATGCTTCATCGAGCGTCGGATATAAACCCATAATGTATATTATTATATCATATAATAGTCTTTAATTGGTCTTGCTTCAGTGTTTTGAGAGTATACATCAGCCTTATTAAATGTATATTATACGGCATAAATATCTTAGTAAGAGAAATGGTATCACTTTTAATAATTTGGACCCCCTCAAGGATTGCAACGGATGATGCTCCTACATAAATAATACTACAACGTCGACGCTCATGTTGCTTGAACCATTTAATAGATAGACCTGGTAATATCTCGAAGGCATCTTTTGGTGCATCTCCAAACAAGACTTCAATAATAAGCGTAGAAGTATTATGTATTGCACTCAAGTTCTGTTTGATAACATTGAATTCAGTAACCAAATTTAAACTAACATTTTTTACAGCTGAACGACTCAATAACATATGACCTGGGTTTTCTGGCAGGGGAGCGACTAACACACTTTTTCGTTTTGATGGCATATAAGCCCCGAGTACGATCCTACTATTTTTTATCTTAGTTAAATTATGTGCCTTATACCCATCATCACATACGGTGGGGTAATGACGATATTCAGTAGCCAATCGATTTTTTTGTCGATCATAGTCCATTTATTATCATCGTTGCGAGTAAGATTGTATGAAGTGTTTTTATGGAGTCTATTAACATTGACATCGCTTAAATCTCCTAGATTACCTAAGAATGTAACTTCTTTCCGCTTGAATACATTATCTTGTAAGTGTAAAGCGTATAACTTGCCATCG